CAATCAAGAATTCTTGTAGAATGAGCCTCTCAAGGGGAGGAGTTCCATGTGAACTACGTCCAAGTACTCTAGTTCCATGCACTCTAGTTCACAACATGAGTTTCGTTCACTCCGGGAGGAGATGGAACGTTACCGTGCTTTGCATGCATATGAAAGTTATAAACATGCTTGTGATGAGTATGAGAAGGAGCAAAGAAGTTTGTGCCGAGCATCTAAATCAAGGTCATCCTCAAGCAAACGAGATTCATCTAAGGAGTGTCTTGACAATCAAATCAAGGAGTTTAAGAATTCTCGAATTGAGCCAAAGCCTCGTGAATCAAAGGATGATTTTTGAAGTCGGACTAAGGAATCGGTTGATTCTATGATGTGAGAAATTAGCCAAGTACTGCATTCATACTTTGAACAACTTAATCAAGTGTCAACCAGCGGTAATAAAAGAAAAATTCACTCCAGTCCCTCGTTGATTGAAGAGCCACATATGAATAAGTTGCAGCCGAGCCATGAACATCAGCTAGACAAAGAAAATCAACACTCAAGTGCAATGAGTGACCAATGGGCCGAGAAGAATGGAGTGGGAAAAGGCAAGAAAAATTTGGCCTTAGTGAAGAGTAAAAGGGAAGAGTTGGCCATGTTTGCAAAAGTTGAAAGTGTGAACATTTTGTTTTATAACCGGCTCACATGTGTTTTGTTTAGTATCTCTTCCTTTGTGCAGATTAAACAATGTTAAGTAGAATTGGTCATGGCATGTTCCATTCCGAAGTCACTTGGACACTTTGCGAGTTTTCGTGGAGTTTGTCTTCTAGGAGCTAAATCTCTTTGGTATAAATTCATGGAACAATATCAATTCAAACCTGTCCACACCATTGGAGGATTGACTCGAGTTCATCATCTTGATGAGAAGTGTTGTAAAGCTGTCCAAAATTTTCCAGCTATGATTAAAGACTTGCAATCCAATTTCATGCTTATTGCAGCTAAAAGTGGTGATCTTTGACGCTTATTCACATGTCCAAAAGCTGGTGGTCACGAGCCCATTTTATCAACTCTAACTTGTGCAAATTCATGTGATTAGTATGGAATGAGCTTCACTTCATTGCTGCCACTTATGTTGGGTGATGCAGACAAGTGTGTCAATCAAGATCCGAATGTTGTTCTTACCTCACTGGTTCATGCTTCTACGGATGTGCAACATGATTGGGTCATTGTTCTATCTCCAGATAGGCCAAACCGACAACTTGTGGAGACTTTTGTTACTTTGCATAACCAGATTCGAGATTTTTCTAAGCTAATTGAGTATCATTATGAAGATCCTCATCTGATGATTGCCAATGGTAAGTGGTTGAGTAGTTTTAAACTTATATATACTAATGGTGTTATTTGTTGTTTAGGTCTGAATTTGACATTCCATGACAAAGAGCTAATTAGAGAGCTTTGGAGTGTCACTTGAAATTCCCATAAGCTTTATAGGAGATGTTTCCTGTCTTGGAGGATGTTTTTATTCGAGAGCATTGTGAGGTTGACCACATGGCATGCAACATGGCTCGTAGTCATTCATCTATTTCCAACATTGTTGTCCTTTAAGCGCACCGTCGATTTGTGGACAAATCGCTTTCAAGAGGAGGGGAAAGAATACTGAAGGGTCAAAGGGAGTTTTCACGTTTAAATCTTGTTCTATACCTTCTTGACATTTAGCTAATGATGTCCCATTGCTTCACTACAAGAAAATTGGTCATCAGTGACAACTTTTCTTTGTGACGAAAAAAAGTTGTCACAATAGTGGATCCTTTATTGACGACTTTCTAACTCGTCACAAACCTCTAATGAGAGCCAACTCATTTGTGACGACTTTTCTAAATTCCCGCCAAATTTTAGCAAGAGCGCGGGAGTGTTTAGAACACACAATAGTGACGACATTAAGAACATCATCACTATTGCTTGCCCTATTTACGGACGACTTTTTGTTGTCGTCACTGATCACTAAAAAAAAAAATTTATTAGTGACAACATTTTTTAGTGATGACAATAAGTCGTCACAAAAGGAGCTTCTTTAGTCGCGACACCTAAAGTTGTCATAATTGCATCAAAACAACTAAATGTTTAGTGACGACCCGTTATTTTCGTCACAAACTACACTGCAAAAAATATGGTCATTAGTGACAACATTTTTTAGTGACGACAAAAGTCGTCACAAAACGTGGTTGTTTAGTGACGACAAGGAAAGTTGTCATAATTGCTCAAAGCAACTAAGTCTTCAGTGACGACTTTGAAAAAGTTGTCACTAAAATGATCTATATAGTGACAACTTCTAATATCGTCACTGTCACTCTACCGATTTGGATTTAGTGACAAGAATTAATCTTCACTGTTTAAAGTACTTATTTCTAAGTCACTCTCTGTAATTCTACTGTGCCACCCTAACTTTTGCGATTTAGCCCCAAATGTTGTAAAAAATTCCATTAATTCGATTATGATACCTTAACTTTTACAATTTAGCCCCATATGTAGTGCACCGATTTCTTTAATTCTATTATTACTCCCTAACTTTTGTAATTTAGCCCCATATGTAATTCACCAATTTTATTAATTCTATTATGGCACTATAACTTTTGCAATTTAACCCCCATATGTAATACACCAATTTTATTATTTATATTATGGCACCCTAACTTTTACAATTTAGCCCCTATTTTTTTATTAGGAAATTGCGAATGGTATCTTGATAAACTATGCATAAATATTTTATAATTTTCTCAAACTTAAGTAATAATTTGTTATAAACTCTAAAGATATATCTTTCATTACAATAGTTATAAGGCAGGCAGGTCTTTTTATCAATGGAATAAGAAATTTATGCCAGATTTATCCTTTGTACTACATGCCAAGTAGTATTAGCAAAGGAATAACAAAGTACTACAAAATAATTAACAAAATAGCCTTTAGGGAGTGTAGTTTATGGGCAAATGAGCATTATCTATTTAAAGTACCAACTTTTTACGGGCATTTTACTCTCAAACATATAATTTATGATAAATTTATAAATGTTTGTAAGTAAAATTCAAAAAGTATTACACTGATTTCTTACAAAACGAAAACTGGCAGGTTATCTTTTCAACATAAATTAAATTTTTTTAAAAAAAGAAATGGCCCATAAAGTACCAACTCCTTGTGGGTTTCCTCCATTACATGAATAAATATTCTGCTCTTTATGGGCATTTCACTCTGAATCATTTAATTTACGTTAAATACATAAATGTTTGTAAGTAAAATTCAAAAAGTGTTGCACTAATATTTTTATGAAAGGGAAACTGGTAGGTTTTGTATTTAACATAAATTAAATATGTGAAAGCAAAAAAAAAAAATTACCCATAAATCTATGTCTTGCAAATCTATACTAGTAAAATAGTTTCAAACAAAATTAAATATTAAAATAAACTGTAATTTATACACAAAATATCTGTAATTTATACACATTTTGCAACTACTACTTTGTGTTTTCTCTGTAATGAATTTTTTAACTATTGAGAACTTAAGTTTTGTTTTGCAAATCTATACTAGTACAATAGTTTTAAACAAAATTAAACATTAAAATAAATGTTTGAAAAAGAACAAAAGTACATTTATCACTTGCAGTAATGTAACAAAATTTTCTCAACCATTATCAATATTTTCACAAAAGTATTAAAAACTAGCAATTGACAATATTAAAAACTAGCAATTTAATTAGTGACGACTTTTCTTGTCATTATAATCTTGAATAAATTAGTGATAACATTATGTCATCACTAAATTTTCTTTGATTTTGACTTAACAATAATGTCTTATTAATAGCATTTGATTATTTTTAATGAAAGTCTGTTATAACCATAGAATTTGACTTTCGTTATTTTCAATTAATGATGTACTTTAGTGCTGCAATTATAAAAAATTGCAGGGCTAAAATATTTGCAAATTATAAAAGTATATTTTCACTTATATGTAATTAACAAATTTTGCCACCTATATTGATGAAAATTTGTGTTTTTGTACTAAAAAATAAAGAATAATACTATAGCAATAAAATCTATGCTTCAAACCAAATTAAAAATAAAAAAAGCATGATGATTGGTCTCAAATGTTGGGAAAATGATTATTTTTATTGAAACTATGTTATAACCATATAATTTGAGTTTAATTATTTTCAATTACATGATGTTCTTTAGTGCTGCAATTATAAGAAATTAGTATAAAATATTAGCAAATTATAAAAGTACATTTTCAATTATATGAAATTAACAAATTTTGCCACCTATGTTGATGAAAATTTTTATTTTTTGCTAAAAAATAAAGAATAATACTATAGCATTAAAATCTATGGTTCAAACCATATTACAAATCCAGAAAAAAACATGATTTTTGGTATCAAATGGAGGGAAAATGAGTGAAGTCAAAATTTTGATCAAATCATAGTGAAAGTGCCGCGCAACAAAAACAATATCCAAAGCAAAGCAAAGACCAAAGCAGCGGAACACATTCTGAAAAGAAAAGCAACGGAACACTTGGTCTGAGTTAAAGCAACGGAACACTTGAGCAACACAAACTTTCACCGAGCTGAAACAAACAAGCTTCTGCACTGAGCACAAAACAGAGCTTCCGCACGGCACCTGATACCTTCACCCACACAACAAATCCGTTCTCTGGCTTCTCACTAGCATCACCATGGCTGTCCAGCATTAAAGGGCAAGGTTTTCATTGGAAAGGTTCATTTTTCTCTCTCCTATACATTTTCCCCAATTTTTCCAAATCCCTAATATTCTACAATATTTTTTGCAAATTTCTGCCCAAAATCTTTTAGCTGTCGAGGAAGAAAAGGGGGACGTCGGCAGGGGAACGAAGGAAAAGACTAAAGTTTCATTTGGGGGCTGGTGATTGAGGAAGTGAAACCAGAAACAGAGAAAGGTCTTGGCCTAGAGGGGACACAAAGAAAATACAGAGCAACAGCCGCTCATCGGCCATCACAGCGCGCAATCTCCATAGCTGCCGTCACTCTGCTCTCATCCAATTTCCGCCGCCTCCAAGTTCCGCCACGGCACCTCCATTTCGTGCGCCGCCTAGCTGCCTGACGCATCTCCCCTTCCCGCACGGCCTTTCTCTCTCACTGTCGCTCCTCGATTTCATGTTGCCACCCACCACTGGCGCCCAGCTCCAGCGCGGCTACCATGGCAGCTACAGCCGCCTGATCATTCGCACCTTCCTTCGACCATCACCATCGCCTGCAGACTTCGCCAAGCAAACGCTGTAAGCCGTCTGCCTTCTTTGAATTTTAGTTTTCCATTTTTAGTATGAACATTGAAAAGTCTCAAAGCATGTTTGCCGTGCGTTTGTTCAGTGCCAACTTCATGTTGATTGCTAACGATTTTAGATTGTATGCTATTGTATGTTGTTTGGACTGAAATCTCTTGTGTTTTGACAAATTTTGGGGGGCTAATTACAGTCCCAATTGAGCAAAAATTGCTGGATCCTTCTATGCCCATGTACTGTTTGTTAAAATGCCCGAGTGAAGGTCTAAATAGAAGATTGATGCCTAATCTGCTTGGGGAAGACGATCGTTTGCTTAAATTTGCAATTCCGGTCATTCCATCAAATATCAACTGAACTGAAAGAGGCCTCTAATTAGTTGTCGTTTTTAAGTGAATTTCTTTAGAGTGCGCGCGCGATATCAGAACCTAATTCAGGATTTTAAAATCAATTTACTAGCAATTGGAATTAGACGGTTGAAGTACACTACACACATGCTCCTTACAGATTGACGCAGGCAGTTTAAAGTTTTAAAACTTCAGAGTCTTTGCTTTGTAGTTTGACTTCCACAATGGTGCATATATCGTTTAGACAGATGGTTATTTTTAGTCGCTTTTTTATAAGTGAATTCATTTGATTATTAATATTTTATTTTTAGTAAACTAAATAGTTTCATGGCCGCTACGCGAAACTCTTATACAAACCTTTGATTTAAAGGTGGGTTTTTTCACTCTCTCTTCCCATGGCTTTGGAGTCTAGCTTTGTTAATATTGGATCACTTTACGAGATGTAAGCTGGTAATAATAATAATAATGTATCACTAGACAGTGGTTCTTTTTTACACTCCATTATTCAATCTAGTAGGATTTCATTGGTGGGTGCATTCTTTTTGTTGGTTTCTTTTATAAACGTGTAACTCAGCCACCTCTTCGATTCCAGAAAGTTGTCTGACCCTCTGAGGAGGTTAAAGAACGTCGTCATAGATAGGCCTGTTCTTAACCCTTTTTTTTGTAGTAGTAGTAGTGTATTTTTCCGAATACGACGATTATTCAAAAGTTGCCGTCTGGTGTTTTAGCTTCTCTCCCACTAAATTGCTAAAATGACGCACATTTATTTATCCCTTCCCTTGACTGACTACATAAAGACACTTCTTTACTGGTATTAATTGACTATGCCTTGAGGAGATCCAATCTTCTGTCGGAGCTCGCCAACCCCTTTTTTTTTTTAACGATAACTATTGTTTAGCTTCTTCTCGTACAGAAACAAACAAAACCGTAGCTTATGAGCCCACGTCACGAAACGGCACAGTAGACTGGAAATACGTAGTAGTTTAATCACAAATTACTGTATAAAAGTATGTTTCGTGTACAACTTCTTTAGGGAAATTCCAGTTGATTTTTGCTATTGGTGCAAATTAATAATTGATGTTCTTTCATTTATGTTACATGATTGGATTTATTATTGACATTATTAGTACAGAGTCTCTCTCTTATTATGATGGAATGGAACCCACTAATTGACTCGGTTATCTTTTCAATAAAAAAAAACTGTTTGTATTATTGGAAAGCATTAAGGATATGTCTGTAAATTGGTTGGAAATGATTCAAATTAGTTCTCTCCAATTAAGCCAAAAAGTATATCAATTCGAAATGAGCCAAAAAACAAAGAGTTATTATCTGCCACGCCCTCCTCACGTAGCAAGTGACTAAAGATTTTTAGAATAACTATTATAGGATCTTCTTTAAACTAACTCAGTTCGCTAATTTGATAGGTACTATTTGATACTTTCAAAGCCATTTTTTAGCAAGGAAGGATTGGGAAGGAAGAAAAAAGGGAGATGGGAAAAAAAACCATTAACCACTAGGCTATCTATCAGATTGTTCTTCGCAGTTCATATCCTTCTTGTGTTCCTGCACTGTTTGTTAGTTTGATACTTGATGTTCATTTCATTTTCTTGAAATTAAATGAGTTCTTATTTTTTCCACTTGTTCTTGGGATGGTCACCACAATGTTTGAGCAAGCTCTTCGAACTCTTCAATCCCACGGTTGCTCAAGTAATTGTGGATTTCATCATGAGTGTGGAATTGCTTCATCCTGCAGTGTTTTAGTTTTTTTCTCTCAAAAACTATACATAAGAGTTTTACTTTTTCCAATAATATTTTTCGGTGCAAAAGGCTGTCTATCTACAATTTCCATCACCAAAGAATAAGCTGCAAAATTGGGAATAGTCATTGGAATAGATCTTGGAACTACCTATTCATGTGCTCATATTTACAAAAATGGTCATGTTGAAATCACAGCAAATGACCAAGGAATCGTATTAAGCCATCATGGATTGCATTTGCTGGTAGCGAAAGACTGATTCGATGTTATTGGATGAAAGTAAGGCACACTCGTGTATTTATCATTTTTGCTGGAACATTTTGGTGTGTATACATATGCTCACTGAAGTCTTAACTGTTATATAACAGGATTGAGACTAATGAAGTTTAGAGGGATATGAAGCTCGTTCCTTGTAAGATTGTGAACAAGGATGGAAAACCTTATATCTAGGTGAAAATTAAGGATAGTAAGGTTAAAGTCTTTAGTCTTGAGGAAATTAGTGTAATGGTTTTAACTAAGATGAAAGAAGCAGCTGAAGCTTTCCTTGCAAAGAAAATTAAGGATGCTGTGGTAACTGTTCCCGGTATAGTTCAATTTCTAGAGTTACTCGTTGAATCAAATTTTACTTCAATGATGCCCAGAGGCAGGCAACAAAGAATGCAGGTATTATTGCTGGGCTGAATGTTGCTAGGACTATCAATGAACCCAGAGCAGCAGCAGTTGCCTATCTAACTACGAATTAAAAAAGTTTATCTAACTACACTAATTAACTGTTGATTTTGCAAAATATTGAACAATGATTAAAGCAACCAATTTCTTGTATAAGTTTTATTAGTTACATTTCTTATAAAAAGCTTTCATATGGTTCTAATTGCTCTGTTTTATTGTAGGCAAAGGCTTTCATCAAAGGATTATAGAATATTTCATCAAGTTGATTAACAAGAAACATGGAAAGAACATCAGCAACCACAATAGACCACTTGGAAAACTGAGGGAAGCTGAACGTGCCAAAAGAGATTTAAGCAGCCAGCAGCAAGTTAGGACTCATGCTTGATTTGACGAGTTGAACAATGACCTCTTTAGCAAAAACATGGGACTTGTCAAGAAGGCTATGGGGGATGCTGGTTTGGAGAACCACCAGATGCATGAAATTGTTCCTGTTAGTGGGGCTACCAGGATCCCAAAAGTCCAATAACTTCTCAAGGACTACTTTGATGGAAAGGAACCCAACAAGAGTGTAAAACCAGATGAAGCAGTGGCTTATGGGGGTGGTGTTCAAGGAGGTATTCTAAGCCGGAAAGGTGGTGATGAAAGCAAAGGTACTTTTTAAAATTTTTAATGGACATGTAAAACTTGATATTTTGCAAACTTAAGATGCAACTTGATTGTCTCAAGAAAGTTGAAACTATTGGTATTGAAACTGTTGCTGTGGTAATGACCAAGTGATTGGTACTTGTGAAATTATTTTGCTGCTTCATAATTTATGAATTCATTCCTTGTGAACCCAGAACAAAAAAAAAATTTGCATGTGACCAAGTTGTAGCAATATCTTGCTACTTCCATTAACTGTTACTGCAGTAATGACCAAGTGATTGGTACTTGTGAATTTATTTCATTGTCATCTGAGTTGTTGTTACATGTTAATGGAATGTATTTGAACGTCAAAGGAGCCTCTTTCTTTTGAATCATCTATACTAAATTACTGCTGTATATGTAAATATCATGCTTTCCTTTTTCTTGTGAATCATCATTACTGCATTGGCTGTGTCCTTTGTATTAGTACATGACTACTCTTTGAACTAATATATTTTTGACTAATACTCCTTTTCACTCCCAGCCCAAGTTCACGATACACACCACATCACTCTTTTCATCATCTAAAATATTAAAAATATTACAATAACAAATACAACCTTACTAACAGGTCTAAAGTTCCCACGCCTTGCGTGGGAAGCAATCACCTAGTTTTAATATATAAACAACCAAAAGCATAAACATTAAACAATAATTACTGTGGGAGTCCAATTTAATTGTTCAATAAGTTGAGCTATTTAAAGAAGAAGAAAGAAAATTAAAAAAAAACTGTTTTAGAGAGCTCTTTAGTTGAACTTATGCAGTGTTGTATTTGTATAGATTGGACTGTGATTTCTAACTTCTTGCTGGTGTTGTAATATGTGGGCCCAAATTATATGAGATTCTTAATGAATTGTAATTTTTGTCTTAATAATCTAAGTCTCATTACTTGTTCTTTATTATTGTACTCCTCCCCTTACCTACTTCTTTTACTCTTTTATGACAGATAAATGCTATTCATACTAGCTTTTGGAAGATATCTATGGTTATGGTTGAAGAATGTTGAAGACAAAATTGCCTTTTGCTCATGGAGTGGTTCATTTAGATATTCTTCAATTTCTTAAACTGTGATTGCTTTTGTAAATGTACCTTATGTACAAGTGATATTTTGGACAAATGTTATTTTTGTAGGCATTAGTTGGGCAATGTACACTTGAATTTGGCATTTGAGAATGCTATATTATTACCATGTAATCTAATGCAAATACTTTTGATTATCAATCATTCATGTTTATTTGTATGGTTTGTTTAAAATCAATGATTTAGCAATGATTACAGGCCAAATTATGACTATTAAGCTATTATGAAATTATCTAATGACAAAAAAAAGTTGTCACAAAATAGAAAATAAAAACTCCTTGTCACAACAGAAACTGTCACTAAATCTAAGTTACATTTGTGACGACAATTGTTGTCAGTAAAATAGTTATATATAATGGCTTTCGGTGCTTTTTAGTGACGACTTTAAGTAGACCATTTTTGACAAAAGGTCAATTCGTCAATAAAACACTTCCAGATTGTCGTCACTAATGACAACTATTTAGTGACGACCAAATAGTTGTCACTAAATAGTTGTCATTAGTGACGACAATCTGGAAGTGTTTTATTGACGAATTGATCTTTTGTCAAAAATGCTCTACTTAAAGTCGTCACTAATGAGAACTATTTAGTGACGACATTTTAGGTCGTCACTGTTTACTTTTACCGACGGGGATTTAGTGACGACTTTGTGAAGATCAAAAAGTCGTCAATAAAAGGTATTTGTGACGATATTTGTATGTTCTGTGATGACTTTGTGTTGTCACTGATGAACAATTTTCTTGTAGTGCTTCTTTATCCAATTTCTGATTTGTTTCAAGTTGAAAGTTATTTTATTTTTGTAGGTTGACTGATGCCAATTTCTCCACGTTGGTGAAGTTCATCCTTGCGATTCCCACAATCTTGATGGAAATTTTCTAGGTTTACTTGGCAGAATTCTTTTTGATCCAATCTAACCCTCTAAGTTGCGAACACTCTTGATACGATCTCAACCCGCGACTTAACGAATTAGCGAACCGAGGAATTTGGTAGAACGGCGCCACAAACAAGTGTGACTCTTGTTTAATAAGCCAAGTTAGGAAATTTCTAAGATGTTCAAGAGGTGCTTGCAAGAAGCCAAGAGAATACTCTCAATTTTATTTAAGTAATCAAAATATGTTTGTTGTTGTAGGTTTGAAGCTTATTTATAGCTTCTTACAACTCAAATCCTAATGAAGCTAGGAACTGTCTAGAAATCCTAATGTGATTTGGAATCACTTATTTTCCTAAAATTAATAACAAAAAGTCAGCCCACCTTGAGACACAATCTGGCCAAATTAATTAAAGTAGATAAACAACTAAATTAGCAAGGTAATTAACATTAAAACCCTTGCTTAACAACACCAAATAAAGACACAACTTGAAACTCGAATAACTTGAACAGGTGAAATCTTCATGGACTAGAGTGGGGGATCCGGATCATATCAATTGATTATTGGGATATTCACGAAAAGTCCCCTTAAGGTTTATAATGTTTTGCACTTTATCTCCTCATGTTAATTTTTTGGCACTTTATCCCCCTAATTGATAGTCAAAATGGTGGTGGTTAATAGGTAAAAGACAATGGTATTCCTGATAAAATAATGAACAGACAAAACTACCTATGAACTAGGGTCGAGCGATAAGTTTTTTTCAAAAATATCCTTCTTGGAGGGAAAAAGTCCATTCTTACTAATGTATTTTGCAAAGAAAAACGAGAAAATTGTATGTTTGACGATTCTAAGAAAAAAACAAATTTTTTGTTTTTCAAATTATTTTGTCTAAAAGCTAAAAAAGACATTAGTTTATCATACAATCATACCTTATAATTTGAATATCTAAGAAATCTTCTTTTGAGATTTTTCAATAGGATTTTCTTAAAGGTGCTATTTTACCACATCCACAGGCATCTTAATTTGGTTCTTTTAGATGCTGTGATAGACAACATCTAGAGGAAAACCAATGAAATGAATTTGAAGAAATTTGGGACATTTTTTTGTCACTTTTCAGCTGCAAATGTAGGATTTAGAAGTTTAAAGGCTTTAATGAATGATGAAATGATAACAAAATATTTCTCAACTTGAAGGGAAACGTATCTTTATAAATAACAGATTGGGGGCATTTATGTTAGAAATTTTAACGGTTTTAAATGGGGGTATTTTTGTCTAGTTTAATGTTTCAATTAATCATTTGAAGAGTGAACTAACCGCGGGGATAAAGTGTTAAAAAATAACGTTAGGGGTAAAGTACAAACCACCATAAACCTTAGGGGGACTTTTTATGATTTTGCCTTGATTGTTTCCCTCCTTCAACGCCGTCCAATTACTTTGTTTAATAATTACGCGTATAAATACGGCCTTTGATCGACAGCTGAACCACGTCCCACGTCCCACATCCTCCCGTCCTTTCTCCTTAAGAAAAGCCAAAAAAGGAAAAACGAAATCCAAAATTTCGATAAAAAAAAAAACTTAAGGCCAATCTACCTAAGGGTTTTAAAGATTACATATTTCTGTTTTGCTTTTATGAATGAAATTGTGGGAATTCAGATGAGATTTAAATTCCGAGTAATTGTAAATTACCTCGATTATTGTTATAAGAAGCATAATCGGATTGGTGAGAAGAAATTAGTTGATAAAGATTGGGTAATTAGAGAAGAATTGCGCAGTGGTGATGTACACGGCTAATTTGATTGGGTTTGGCTTAGCCGTAGCTTCAAGTGCGTTTATTGGATCCAGCTTCATCATCAAGAAGAAAGGTCTACAGAGGGCCGGCGCGTCAGGCTCACGTGCCGGTATGCGCTCTGTTTTACCTAGTCATTCCTTTTAAATTTTTTTTTTCTGGTTTCCACCATTGTCAGTAGTATGGGTTATTGCTATTCTCTGTGTTTTTTGATTTATTCCTTTTATTGTTGAGGAAGTAAATTGCTTCTTGTCAAATGGGCTTTACTAGTAGTTTTTTTTTTAATTTAATTTTTTTTCTTGCATTTATTTCCTTTCCAGAATAAGTCAACTTGCAACACGGGATCTAGGAATGTTTGATTTACTTGAATGTTAAGAAATTTATGATGTGAACTGTCGATGTCTAGATTTAAGGTGTATTATGCCTAACATTCTACTTTGTCTATGAGAATATACTTTTCCTTGCATTTCTTTTGTTATGCTTCAATGAGTGTTGAGCACAGGTGTTAGAGCTATGAGGCTGGATAAATGAGCCATAGTAGCATGTGTGTGGACAAATTTGTTGCATAAGAGAAAAAACTTGAGGAAATGAAATCTCTGTTTTGTTACTCTTGTAAAAAATGATCAGGGGAAATTTCTGAAATGGACGCACTTCAAAGCAAAATATGTAAGGTTGGACTTTTGCTTATTTAGTTGTAGAGTTATCAACTATGAAACTGTACTACTTCACGCATCATTTTTTGTGCAAGTTTGCTTAAATGATGTTTGAGGAAAAATAAGGAAAAATTGCATTCCATTGTGAATTTGGTTTTGAAAGTGCGCCTTTTTCATAGTTTTACTGGAAGAGTTGTGAACCGTAAATGGACATGTTACTCAGTTACCAGTGAGAACCTTTGAATGTTATTCTGGTGTTAGTCAATTAATCAAGTAAAACAATTTCTTGCTAATGGTTTTGATGGAGATTGTTAACCTTCACTCTATTTGACAAGTGTAAGGATTGCTACTTGAGATGATGAGACACGCAGCTCTGTGGAGGCCCCTTTTTTATTGAGATAACAATATTTCTCTAGCTGGAACAGTATAATCAAAATACTTGCTCAAAATCTGATGTACCAAGCTCCTTAGTGAAAAGGATGAGTCCGATACAACATATTTGACAAGGGCTGGCTTCTGCTGGGTGCAATGTCATATGCTTTAGGGGTCTATCAAGAAGATAATAGGGTCCAACATCTTGATACAGCATCTTATATGTTGTTTAGGTTTTATGGGCATTGAAGAAATTAACCCACATCTAGTAGCTTAGGATGTTTGCCTTCAATATTGTCTCATTACAATAAGATAGGCAAGATTTTGGAACAACCATGATATCACACACTCAAAAGGAAAAACCAAATCGAAAGTAGTATGAAAATTTTATACGAAGTTTGATAGTTTTCACTCAATGTTATCATTATCTCTCTCTCTCTCTCTCTCTCTCTTCTGTCGACTTATAATACTGATTTCTTTTGCATGTCTGTAGGATCTGGAGGCCATGGCTATCTAAGGGAGCCACTTTGGTGGATCGGCATGATTGCTAGTAATTCTTTTTGTGGTTCAGACTTACTAATCTTGTTTATCTCTGCATTTAATGTTATTGAAAGGACACATTGACTGAATATTTTTTGTAATATCTGGCAGTGATTTTTGGTGAATTTGCCAATTTTGTGGCTTATATTTATGCTCCTGCGGTGCTTGTGACTCCACTGGGAGCACTGAGTATAATTGTAAGGTAAAGTATCACTTTCAAGTGATAACTAAAAAACTCTTACCAGTGACTTCAAGTGATGTTAATATTTCTTACTGCCCACGCAGTGCTGTTTTAGCACATTTCTTGTTGAAGGAAAAATTGCGAAAAATGGGAATATTGGGGTGCATCTTATGTGTAGTGGGCTCCACTGTCATTGTGCTTCATGCACCAGGAGAGCATGATATTAGTTCGGTTGATGAGATTTGGGAACTTGCAACACAACCTGGTAAAGAAATTAGTATAACTACTACCACTTAATATGATTTCTTCCCTTATCTATACTGGTTAAAGATTTTTCCTTGATAGTCTTGTTTTATTTCTCCAGCTTTTGTTCTCTACGCAGCTTCAGCAATTGCAGTGGTATTAGCATTAGTTTTGTATTGTGAACCACGATATGGGCAGACCAACATAATGGTATACATTGGCGTATGCTCCATCTTTGGTTCCTTGACAGTAAGTGTCTCCA